AACTCCTAAAAGAGGCAATAATACAAAGATTCATTTTGTCAGCTCTCAGATATTTCTTACAGTTTAATTTTAAGTAGGATATCAGTTGATTAGTATAATTAATCATTACTTAATGAGGGCCGAGTCTACCCAAAGGAACTACATCAAAGTACCTGTGACAAAAAGTAGGGGAACAAAGAACAATTGTTTTTGTGTAAGTTTCTCCTAAATACTGTGATCCATGATATAGGATGCGATTATATCTAACTTTTAAAATTGAGTATAAACCAAGATTTTAAAAGAAGCTATGGGATTTCAACAATATCCATGAAAGTAATTTCTGATCATTTGATATTGAAGACTTTTTTATTATTTCTAAATATTTCTCCTCTTTGTAAAAAAAAAAAAAAAAAAAAAGATGAATGGTTTGAGTACATACCAACTGAAGTACAGGGGTTCAAAGAGATAAGGAACAATTATTCATTATTCCTCTGTTAGACCAAATAAGTTAATTCATGGAATTGCACTCTGAACTGTTTATGGACATCACAGTGTAGATCTAATATCCCTAGAATCTGCTATTTCTGCTTTCTTTGACACATAGAGCTACCATATATGGATAAAACACTAGCATAGTCTATAAAGCAAAGTTTAACTATTTTATGCAGAATCACAAAATCGTTGAGGCTGGAGAGCACCTCTGGAGAACACATGGTTCAAGCTCCCTGTTCAAAGCAGAGTCGGTGAGAGCAGGTTGCCCGGGGCTGTGTCCTGTTGGGTGTTGAACACCTCCAAGGACAGAGACTCCACAACCTCTCTGGACCATCTGCAATTTTGCAATGCTGTTAAACATACAGAAACATTTAAGATTAAATGTGGCAATTGAACATCAGTAGTGAGCTGCATTTTGCAGTTCTTGATTGAGCAGCTATAAAGCATTTTACAAGACTGAACAGGGAACAATGCCAACATAGGCCTTGCTATTATGTAAGCATTTTTTTTCTAACAGCTGATCCAAATATGATGTTTATAAATCTAAATAGTCAGCAATTAGAAGGCTTAGCTGTTTAGCACGAGCAATAAAAATTATCAGGAGAAGATTACCAGTTCAAACCATATGGTCAGTCCAAGCAAGTTTCGGTAGACCACCACCTCATCTTTGGACACAGGTTTACTCAGGCACCTGAGAGATCGTATACAGTGCTGTAAGCTCAAGTCTGGCCCTAGGTTTGAGTCTGAAATAGTCTTTTTTCCACATTATTAAAACTTTCTATCCAAAAATTCTCTTCCCCAAAATGACACAGATCTTCCAGGATCAGCAAAGCATGCTGAATGCTCCCCAGGGACCCCAGGTAATAATTCCAAGTACTTTCATCCCTGGGCTGACAGCTACTTCTTAATAGTCCCTGATTCCTCACTGTAAAAGCAAATTTCAAGTTTCACCGGTACTTAGCTTCTATTTCACAAGCTGTCAAATGACTAGTCAAAATGTCGGAAAAAGGAAATCACTTCTGCAGAGTTTCCGGGTTTTATTGTGATCAGTTACCAGATAATTGGTCTCAGATGCCTTAGCAAAAATAATAAAAAGTTAACACATTTCTACTTGCTGAAAAGAGCCTGATGATCTTGAACAGCATTAAACTGTGTGTATTAAGTACATCAATGTAATGCAAGACAGCAAAATTCCACCTTTTCCTTCCTGTGAGGGTTTTGGTGAAACGTGGTCCCTCCCTCACTTCTGCAGCGTAGGCACTGACTCTCCCTCCAGGAGCAAGCTCCTGGTTTAAGTACCAAGAGCTGCAACTATAACAAATACAGGAGACTTTGGAATATTTATTTGGTACTTATAAAGAAGAATGCAGTGGCTATACTGTGTCAGAGGAAAGGTACATTTAGATTTTGATAATGTCTCCAGCTGTGGCCGGTAACAGATGCATATGGAAAAATATAGGAACATAATAGTCGTCTTTCTCTCTTTCAGCATGATAGGACTGTAGCGTGTTTTTTTTAAGGGAAAGGATGGAAAATTGTAAACTTCTGATTCCAGGTTCTAAATGCCACCATAATGTAGATACCAAAAGACTGAGCAAATCATGTGTGTCAGCACACTTCGTGGAGCAGGGAGGAGGATGTATAAAGCTGATCTGCTGACTGTGGGAGCTGATATCGCTAAAAATAAGTTGCTGCTTACCATCAATGCAGGATGTAGCTATTCCAATAAAATTAAGAAAAAAAAATGCTAGAAGGAATTATGGATTCGATTATCAGGGCAATTGCTAGTTCTTTCTCAGTCATCAGAGATGTCATGGAGCAATGTAAGTTTTCTCATCTTCCTGTTTGTTTTTTATCTACTAAACTGGTGACTTGAAGCATACAAAGTTTTGGAAATGTGAATAACATGTTCTGACTACCAAAGACCAGTTGCACAATGTGATTGCTTTTTAGGCAAAAAACTTTATTATCACCAGTCTCCTGTCACTTCTAGGTACCTTTTTTCTGTTTCTGTTGATTAGATTCACATTCCTCCTAAAGGGACATGTTTTTTTTCCCACCAAAAGATATTTAGGAGTTACTCCTTAAGGAAAGAGAAATCAACCTCTTGCCTAAAAATTTTTCCTTAGACACCAAGACTATCAGTCATATCAATTAAGTCAAGTTTAAATAGTCATATTATATATCATTCATATATCCACAATATATCCAATAAAAAGGATATACCCCTATACTGACAGCTTAAATAGATCTCTGTGTGAGCCAAGGCTGTTGACGTTCAATTTCCTTTCCCTTTCCTGTTTGTTCGTGTGTGGTTGGCCTGACTGACCAAGTGAGTGACTGCACTGCCATTGCACTCAGTAGTGAAACTCTCACCAGTGGAAATTAGACTTGATTTCCAAATCCCAGCACTGCAGCAGTACTCGGCTGGGCTCTTCTTGCTGGTCTTTTAAATTAAAACAAGTTGTTGATGAAGGCTTTACAGGTCCCCTGGTAAATTTTCTTCTGAAGCCATGCAAGCAGGATGTGATAAACCTAGGATGGTAGCTGAATGAATTTTTCCAACTCTCTCTTTTTTTTTTTTTTTTTTTAGAAAAGGATGTTAACCACTTTTTCAAATTTCTGAAACCTTCCACTTTTATTCTTGTTCATTGCCAATGCATAAGAAGTGGTGTCTTGGCTTGTCTTGCTCAAGAGGTTCATACTGTTATAATCTATTTCCTATGCTACAACAGCATTATGACGGCACACATTGACAAAAAAACCAAAAATACCTTCAGTTCGTTCCTTTCTAGAAGCCTTCAAAAGACAGAGTGCATGCAGTTATATTTCTATGGCAGAAAATCAGGGAGGGCTGCATTTATTCATAATTACTGTTGCTTTATTCCAGAGGAACTGAGCTTAAAACCAGATCTGCTCTAACAAGGAAAAGCAAGATCATGCTTTTGAATGATGGCTGGTAAATGAAAAGGGCTAAATTTTAGGAGAAGACAAATCTATTTTAGCAGTAAGCAGCTGGCTTTACTGCCTTCTGAACATCACTTTTTAGTCATTCTGCACAGTTTGTATTTCTGTAAACTGCTGCAAACGAAATGACACATTCTTACTGACAAAAATTATGAGCAAATCTGATATTTCAAATCCTAATTCATGGAATCCTATGGAAAATTTTGTAATATAAACCTATAGTCTTTATTTCTCATGTTCTCTCATTGTCAAATAATTTAATCTGCTTTATTCCATGAACAATTCTCATTATATTTTATTTAGCAGCATGTTTTCCTATGAGTTTATCTCCACATTTCAATTCATTATTTTTCCCATTTGTTATATGCAACAGCACAGGATTTTGAAATAAAAATATGACCCAGGTGAAGACTTGGTTTTATCTGTGTAAGTTGTAGCAAGCTAAGTGTTTGTGGTTTTCCTTGCTGTGTGGATGATGTGGTTTTCAGATGTTTTGTAATATACTACTTTTAGAGGACTATTAATAATTCAGTATCTTGTCCCATTAAGCAACTTTTTTCCTCTAGAGCTTGGATTTTAACATTTGTACATGAATGAGAAGTTAATCTCTTTAGAGTCATCCTTATGACTAACTGCTTCAAGATATGAATGCAGCTCACAGAACCTGAGGTGTAACTTCCAGATATGAATCTACAGTTTGCTTTTTGTAGCCATTTTACCATGACCAAAAGATTTCTCATCTTATCTGAATACACCTCACGTGATTTACAGAGGGATTGACTCTGCAAATACTGAGCATAAAACTTCTTTACAGCAACACCTTGCTCCCTGCCGAATCTCCTGGCTCAGCCCTGGGGTACTTGGAAGACACAACAGATTACAGTATTTTTCAGCCTGTTTATCATAGCTCTGTTCCTGTCTTCTACAATGAATTATGTTCAGCTGTTTTGTCACTTTTTCATAAGAAAAGATATGAAAGAAAAATTTTAACTTGAATATTTCCAGGCTGATATTTGAAATGTGGAGGTACATTTTTCATTTAAAATCAGTTTGCCCAAATACCTTCGTCTTGTTGTGTTTTCTTAAGTGACAAAGTAGAGAAGATGTATTTGAATTAGCAAATAACATTCAATTGAAGTCCCATTTTGAGCTTTTTAACAGCAGTGTGGCACTGTAGGGAACAGTTATCTTCCAAGACCATGGCTGGCCAGGAAATGTCTGATATAGAAAATGTTTTAGTTTCTTGCCATGTTGGTAGGTGTGCGTGTTTTTGATACTGCCAGAGGTTTTCAAAATCATGCAACCCAGACTGTGGAGAGTGCATGCATAGTTTGAATCAGAAAGGAATTAATCTCCTGTCTTGTTTCAACAGGTAAGTTATAGCTGATGGGACAATAACATTCAACAGTCTGATCTGTGTGAAGTGAAGGGGCTTTGCTACTGTGTTGTGCTGTTTAAACAACATTCACTGAATGTCACATCAAATCTTCTTGTCAAAGCCGTCCATCTGCTGCCTTTGTCAAAATCTGAGTGCTTGACCTCATGCTGTTTTGCCTTCTTAGGAATGCAGGTGCTGGAATGGAATGGCATCCCCTTGACTGGGAGAACTTATGAAGAGGTCCAGAACATTATTATTCAACAGAGTGGGGAAGCAGAAATATGTGTAAGACTGTGAGTTTTTCCCCATCTTTCTGTTTCCATTTTTTTGGCTTATCATGGCTTTTTTTTTTTTTTTTTAATTTACAGTTGTTAAGTTGGAACCTTTGTTAGCACAAAGCATCAATGTAATAATTAGCAAGGGTTCACTGTGAGTGTGGGAGATCTGTTTGTTCTTTTTTCTTTTAAGGTCATAAGGAAAGGTAAGCTGAGGCAGATGTTAGTAATTATACTTTTATAAACAATGATATCTCCATTGTCAGGCCACAATCTCCTCCCATTGACACACATACAATTCACCGAATATACCTGGGTTAGAAAAAGATGGCAACTTAGCACTAACTTGACGTTTACTGAAATCTGTATCCTTTAGATGAAAGCCATTTAAGCATCATAAGAAATGTATAAACTCGCATTCAACCCATTAAAGATTTCACCTTAAAAAAACCTTTTATTCTCAGCTCTTTAACAGCATTGCGAACATGTACCAACTAAGAAGGGGCCATGCTTGGGAGCTGCTTTCTGTCATGAACCACTATTCATTTATCTACTTAATACAATAAAAAGGGTATAAGGAAAGAGTTTCGTTTGTCTCAGGCTTCTCATTGCTTTCTTTAGGGACCTGAACATGTTCTCAGACTCTGAGAATCCCCAGCACCTGGAGCTGCAAGAGCCAGTAAGGGCAGGTAAGTGAGAAGTTGTTGCTGACATATTGGAGGACTGGAGAGCAGCTGCGAATTGGATGTGACATAATCTAGGATATTAGCATTGTAACCCAATGTGTTTACATCCCATCTTGCCATGGGCAGAAAGGGGACTTCACCTTATATACAAAGCCAAACATTTATTATTGGTTATTATTATTATTTGCCCAGTTCGATCCATACTGACACAGTCTACACTATCTAACTAATACAAAGGAAATCTCAGTAACAACACTGCACCTAACATTTGTTATCCAGGGAAAACCTCACACTAGCTGCCCCTTCATCTATACACACCACAGAAACCTGTGGCATAATGGTCCTGCTTGGCAGCATCTCCGGGCCCTGCGGACAGTGCTTTCTGCAGCAGTGCTTTCACTCCAGGGGCACTGCAGCAAGTCGACAGTGTCCTGCAGAATTTGCTGGGAGGCGTGTGATGTTTGTGGTGAGAGTTTTTGACTCCTCATTGCTGGGAGGTAGATGATATTGATGATTCCTTCTTCTTCACTTTGGGATCTGCTTAGGGCCTTTTTTATGTGTTCTAGCATGCCTTGCTCTTTCCACACCAGTCAGCAGCTCTGCATTGCCTATAATTTGACTGGATATCGTACACTTTACCTGTGATATAGTTCTTGTTCTTTGTTCCCTCTGTTGCCCCTAAAATTTATCTTCTCCATTTGCATCACTGTTAGTAACTGACCAGCAGGTTGCTGGTAACCCTGGGGCCTCAGCTGTTGTCCTGTGCCCAAACCTTGCAGCACTCTGCTGTCACCCCAGGCCTGCGCTCCTATAAGCTGCATTATTGATCTGGAGTCAGAAATACTTCAGTCTACACAGTACCATTACTGTGGTGCTGTTATATATCAAAATTATTGCAAATGGGCGTTATACCATACAATTATACAGGGTTAAGTGTAACTCTGACAAATTAAAGTCATAGACATCTGGTCATTCAACAATTGCTGTTGCAGCCAGACAAGCTAGAGCAAAGCTCCTAGCAAACTGGAGCAAGTCCTAAAGCCTATATTAGCTTAATACAAGACTTGTGGACTGCTATTAGTGATGAAAATACAGTATTTACTAGGACACAGGGATGCAACAGGAAGGATTCTGTGTGAAGTTTTGTTATGTGACTTCTAAGGAGGCAGTGCTTTTGGGGGGATTCCCTTCTGCTCAGTCAAAACCATGACTGCAGGCTCCAGTCATGGTATTAGTCATATCTAATCTAACTTTCAACCAGCATCCACAGCCTTACTGGTAATGCAGCCCTTCAGCAAGCTCCGTGTAGATTATAAGTGTTTCACTCAGCATCTCATGGGTCCATTCTGAGTTCAGCAGTTTTGTGGCTGCTCTTTTATCAGTCAGTACACAAGATACCCAGATCAAGTCCTCCATTTTCCTACCAAGTAACACTTCCCATCTTTTAGTATACTTACCACCAAGCTACCTTTTGTTGAAAATGGATGTTATTGATATTAGTTATAAGCAAACACTGATTCTGACATAGCTTTGAGGCAGAGCTACCCACAATTTTTCTCTTAGCTAGCAGGTCAAAAACACCAATGGCATTCATAGTCACTGAAATTGGGGTTTGAAAAGATAGACGCTAGAATAAACAATATTTTTTATTAATGGAGAAAACTCAAAATGAGAAAGAACCAAAATAAAAGTAAATTGCCCCGTTCTTACAGGCATGCTTCCTCCTAGTCTAGCAAACTTCTAGTGATTTCTGAGTTGGAACAACTCTGCAGAGTGCCTTCTGGCTGCCAAGACTTTCTCGCCATCGCCTCTGAGGTTTTGCAGACTGTGCTTTGGAACAGAACAATCTTTATTCCCTCTAGAAAGAAAAAACAAAGACAGCCTAGCAGACAGGATAAGGCTAAAGTATTGCTTTAAACCTCTGATACTTCTGAAAACCTGGGAAGCAAGCTGAGCCTAGTATCCCTTTAACTCTATGCACTTTAAGGGACATATGGAACTTACTTGACCTCATTTCTCCATTAAATGGAGACTGGCATCTACAAAGGGTAAATTCTCCCCACCCATTCCCAGGCAGCAGAGAGAGCAATCAAACTTCTACCACAGATGCCTCACATAGATGTTTGTAATAAGTAAAGATGAATCAGGGCTGTTACTCCATTTTATTCTGCTTTGTTTAGTTTGTAGTGCTAAAGTTTTGAGTTCCTTTCCTCTTTATTTTTGTATAAATTATCTCAGGAGCAGAATTCAGTTTTACTGAATGTCCAGATGATTAAAAAAAAAAAAAAAAAAAAAAGTTGAGATTAAACCTTGTTACAACAAGGTTCAGATACTTGGTGAAACTGGACCAGTTCAGTGTGAAAGTTAACACAGGCCAGTCTTTAAAACTGTAGTTTGCTCTAGTTTGATTCAGGATGATCAGCAAGGCCTATCTTTTCTTCAGCTAGAGAAAAACTTTCTCAGAAAACTTGTGAGATGAGTAATGCTAGTTGAAAGAGTGTTGAGTACCATGTCAAGATGGATTTGGACATGCTGACAATTATCAATACACAACTCTCTTACTTTAATCCAAGTAGACAAAGTGAAGTCCCCGGGGGTTGATCCCAAGCAGCTGGCTGCAGAACTCCAAAAGGTTTCTCTGCAGCAGTCGCCTCTAGTTGCTTCCTCAGGAGTGGAAAAGGGATCTCATGTTCATTCTGGAACCACTTCTGCCACCTCCAGTGCTGTTCCCAGCCCTGGTCAGCCGGGTTCTCCCTCAGTGAGCAAAAAACGGCACAGCAGCAAGGTAAGAAACTTTTCAGTTATGCAGCAATAACATTCTGATGACAGGAAGAAACTGCCTATTTATCTTCTCTAGTGTAGCAAGAAATCACAGCACATATTGATGAATTCATTTCCATGACAGTGATGAGTCTTACTGTTAAGATATAGAATTTGGACAGAAGGAAAGGAGATTATTTATTCAAGGTCATAGAAGATTGGGCCCTCTCTGAAAATAGATTTCTCGAACTTAATGTTGTTGTTTTTAAACAAAATAATTGCCCTTTTCGTTCTTTGTTGCTGTTGCTTTTTAAGTGCACCCTACGTGATGGCGAGGTACTAGTTCCACAGAAAAAGCTGACATTGCTAAGACCATAATTTCTCTCTCTGTACCAAGCTACTGTTTGAAGTGTTAGGAGCTATGAATAATCGTAGCAATATTAAGCATTTCTCTGAAAGATGGGGAAAGAATGAAAAATAAATTTACCATCAAAATGTGTTTTGTCACTATTCCTGTGACCCTGTTAAGCATGATTTCTCATTTTCTCTGCCACATCCTGTCCATTTCTCAGCTGAACTTCTTTCTCCTTCTGCACTCACCTGCACAGCTGGAAAGGGCAGAGTGGGAATTTAGTAGTGTTTTTTCACAGCTGAAACTGAAAACTAGATCTTAAAGTCATCTGTCACATTTTTGCCTTTTGTGTCAAAAATGTTACCACTTGAAGTGAAAATCAATCCTGCTTTTGCTTAAGCAATTTGCAAGAGAGCTGAAGCTGATTGCTGTCCTGAATACCCAGCTTCTCACAGTCTTACTGTTGGAAGCAAAGCTTCACATTGCAAACAAGGTGCTTTCTACATATTTATTTCTCTGTATCTTTATTTCTTCTTGGGACTGTCAGGTTCCTGCTGCATTATTATTATGTTTGTATTTTTATGCTGTTGAAGCTATAACTGTGATTTGAACTACAAATGCATTAGGTACTATACAAACCAAAACTTGCAAAGGTGCCTGCTCATTTCAGATAGCTCTTCAATATGCCTACATAGCTTTCATGTGAGAGGAAATACAAAAATCTCTTTCATCCACCAATTTAGCAAAACCTGTAAATATGTTTATTAATCAATTTGTTTTGGATAGTAATTCTGTCTTGCCACAATTCCCACACACTTTTTTGTGAACTAATTCAGGTTTGTGATGCACAAGTTAAATCCATATATCAAGATTTACTGCACCTAACTTCAGGGATCTGTCAGAATTGCCTAAGAGTTGGTTTCATTACACCTTATTCTGGATATTGTATACATCTACATATGAACTAGTTTACCATGTTTACCAGTGAGAAGAATGCACTTCTGGAGTACAATTCGTGAGACCAGATGCAACCTGCCGGTGAAGTGCATGCGTTGCATGGAGAGGGCAGGGCTCTTAGTGCAGGTGTCACTATCTACACTGAAACCCCTTTCATCTGATTAGATGAATCACACTCCTAAATTCACTGCATAGTGTATGGAGATCCAGAAATCCTTGATGTGCCGTGTGTCCTGGAGAGGTGCCCCTCTCTGTCCACATGAGAAGACTGGGTTCCCAGCTTTGGCACTGTAGCAGTCACCTGAAGTTTGATGCATAAATTTCATTTGCTGCTTCACAGAAGATTTAGTAATCCTTTATGAAAATTCAGCTGGAGGCTTATAAAGATGAAACAAAAAATTATTAAAACAAATGCCTTCATGTAGGGGGTGAAAAAGTCGAAACTAATCACGTAAATATTTAAAATATTCTTTGCTTATATCTGGAAATCATGTTGAGAGGCATTTCTTTCGTAACAACCATAGCTGGTTTTGACTTGTATAGTTTCTGTTCATTGACTGCAGGCCAGGTTTATAATGGTGTTGAGCTCTGTTAGAAGAGGAAGCTACTGCTCATCCTTTCTGGAATGGCTCTTTGCCTTGGGCTGACAGCATTTCTAGGCAGGATGCAGCCTTGCCAAAGTATCATGACAGACTAAATATCCAAACTGCCTAGATCTTGGTTTTGTGGCTGTTCTTATTTTTAGCGAGTAAAAAAAAAAAATATATTTTTTAAGCTTTTTGTATAGAATGTACATTGCAGAAATGTTGTAGGAGTGTCTGCAGTGTAGGAACTCTGCAGAGCCAATTCTCTTATATTTAGTGCTTTGTCCCATTACTACAGAGAGTAATAGTGCAAAGCATCAGAGCCTGGCAATAACAAGTTTCACATCATGGTAATGACAACCTTTTTCAGAAGGTGTGATGACATTACAAAGCACCAGCTCTTACAGAGGGTGTGTGAGTGTGTGCAGGGAGTATCAAAAGAAATCAGAATTAAATTAGTTTAGCCATGGCAGGAGAGATTTAACCTTTGGGAGCCTTAAGCTGACCATTTCCTGTGCAGACCTGTTTCTTTTGTAATGTAAATGCACAATCATTCGACGGTGCAGATTACATCCAGGATATAAATGCCCTACAGAAATATTTAGTTGTCTTTGTATCTTGAAGAATGGGTTGTTCTTCAAAATCCACAGATCCTTTAGCTCCTAGAGAAGTCAGCAGTGAAATGTTTTTCCTTCTTTTCAAATTAATCCTCTTTGAGGCCCTGATAAAGAAAGATACTTATTTGCATCTCTGCCTTTCAATACAGATCCAACTTCAAAGCTGGCCAAGCTCTGAGCTGGGGGTTGGACCAGATGACCTTGAGAGGTCTCTTTCAGCCTAAATTATTCATGTTTCTTTGAAATGTTTCAGTGGTTCTTCGTGGTCAGTTTTAAATTGTCTGACATAAGAGAGAAAACAAAATATTTAACATGCTGAATTGGAGTCTTGTAGATGAATATGGAGATTTAACAATGATTTTGAAACATAAAAATGCACATTTGTTTTTACAGACAAGTAGATGAAAGCAAAGTAACCGAATGGCTAAAGAGAACTCCACTTTAACCACTTTTGGAAGTCCCCCCACAAATTCAGCATGCCCATTCCCTTTTCTCTGAACTCCTACAGTATCTGTACTAATACATTCTGTATTACATGATATTTGGAGTGAATAAACTCATTATTTTTGCTATTCAAACTTCTGAAGAATTAGAGCATTTAGACTATCCAGCAGTGATTTTGTAGCCTCAGCACAGCTAACTCTGTGTCACTTCATAGCATTGTCTGTGCTAGTACAGACTGAGGTCAGGACTATTAAAGTGTAATAGAATCCACTAGTAGAAGTAAAGTATGGGAAATGTAAGCCATTTAACCCCTACTTTGAAAGTTTACATGATGCTCAGGTAGGTCTCTATCTTTGGCAAAATAAATTCTCTCTTTGAATATTCTTTCCAGGACCAAACAAGTTTTAGGAGTAGTTTGCTGTCAGTCTAAAATATCATTTAAGACTCAGAGCATTTTATAAACTATTGATGGCCTATTTTAACTGTCAGAGGGATTACACTGCTTTAAAAGCTTTGTAAGGTAACAAGAAAAGCTGATTTAAAAATTTTGCACGATAATTATTTTTGAGAGGCACTTGCATTTCCAGAAAAATCAGCTATTGTTTTTCCCTCAAAAAGTTAGTGTTCGTAAAGAAACACATCTAGAAGGCAAGGTAAAGCATGTAAAACAAACAAAAATAAGGCAACACAAGTCAGTGAATATAACTATATAACAGGCAGGTTTGGGCTGTTTTTCTCTCTTGTTTTCTGTTGCGCTAGTGTTTAGCTGGGATTTTTCTGGTTAGTTCTGGTCTGCAGATCTGAGTGACTGAGGGGATGTTTCTCCTTCACAAACCAGAAAAGGGTTAACTTCACACTCTGGACCAGGAGACAGAGGGTCTGCATTGGCCTACTTTAAAACCATTCATATCCAACATCCTGAGAAAATCTCTTGGGAGGGTAGGGCAACACAAAAGAGGTAGATGGGTTTTACTCTTCTCAGAAAGTGAAAGAAATCCTAATTACACAGAACAATGTGTCAGGCTGCTGGCCACATCCAGAAAAAATAGGAAAGGATGACTTCCAGTTCACTCTTCAGAGAACAGTAAGTTTGTCCTGGTTTGCATCCTTTGTCTTCTGCTGCATCAACCAAGGAGGCAGATGTGGAGAGAATGCAAAAATGTTCAAATCCCACTACTGAACCATAGAGAGCTTTCTTGCTTGACTGATGGCTTGCAGATTAGAGGTAGGTCCAGGGTGGCTCAAGGGCACCACTGCTTAACAGCATTGTTTTGGGAGTCCAGGATTTGAAGCAAATGATGATATTATTTTCCAACTACTAAAAAACAGGAGAGAAGAAAAAGGAAAAAAAAAAAAAATCTGAGGATTCCATTGCTTTTATCATCAACCTAGAGAAACTTAGTGATAGAGAACAGAGAGGAACAAGAAAGATTATACAGCATTGTAAAGGGGAGGACAGAAAGTTTAAATTTCATGTCATGAAAAGTGTGTGGAAGAATTTGAAGATGAAGTGGTATTGCTGAATTGATTATCAGAAAACACAGAATAAAGCAAAAAATATTATATGAGATGGCTTGCACTATGAAATCCACTTATACACATCAATCAGTTTTAGTACCATTCTATCCTCTCTTTCAACCCACTTTCACCTAAACTCAATTTAAACAAGTGTAACCTTTGCCTTTCAATAGAAATATTGCTGTGTTTTGCTTGACATGGTGCTTGGTTTCTCTTTGCAACATTCACTTTTGTTAGAGAAGGTTAATGCTACATGTCTTTTTCTCCCCACACCTCCCTGTCTGACCAATCTGCTCAGACTGTAAAGACTTTGGTGTTCAAGATGTCTGATTCTGTACTTGCACAAAGGCTGATCAAAATGCCTGGGCTGGACTTCAAGGGCTGTTGAAATACCATAAATATCAGTTTTGAGCATACAAATTTGAGACAATTTAATGGTTTTTAAACATAGATGGCAATACAGCAGTATAAACAACACCTGTTAAAAAAGTTAACTTTGAAAATCTATTATTTCCAATACACTTTTGTGTATATTTGTGAGTATGTGCTTATGTATTTATTTATGTATTTTAATTTGGCAGCCCACTGAAACTACAAAGTCTGCTTCCCATACAATCACTGGAGAAATTCAGGTAAATATGTAGTTTTTACTGTATATATTGTTGCTACTGGCTGCATGTTTTCTGATTAATAAGTTTGCAGAAAACAATCTCCATTAACTGATTTCTTATTCAATTCCAACCCCTTGAAATGTCACTGATGTAAGTCAGTGCTAGATTTTCTCCTCTGTCTTTAATGTTGGCTTGTGAAATTCAAATAGGAGAACGGAAAATGCTACTGTTCCTGTAGGGGCTAAAAACATAATAAAATTCATTCTAAACTTTGATCTCCTGGCACTTATTGTGGCTTGCTTCAGAAATTCCCAGGCTCTCTGCATTTAAGCAAAGACTGCTGTGGGTTTCTCATAGTGCAGTGGATTAAATTCCATGCAGTGCCAATTTAGTGGTTCTCTCTCATGTAAACTGTCTTTAGTTTTTTAAAAGAGTGGAACTGTGAGCTGCAGAGTAAATGAAGCCTCATTTCCTATAGATTTCTGTCTTGTTTCCTTAATTCAGCCCTCTCTCCTTTACCAGTGCTAAGGGTCTTTCCATAGTATTATATCGTCCTTTCCAGGCTTGGGCTCCAGGTAGTCAGAATTAGTATAATTCCTACTCAGTAAACTGGCTATTGCTCAGAATAATATCAAGGCTTCAAATTTAGTCTCCTGACTATAATAGATAAATTCTTTTTTTTTTTTTTTTCTTAACCAGTACTGACAGACTTTGAAAGCAGAATTTGTTTCAAAATCCAACGTAATCCTCTAGAATCTCATTCTAGTTGGGAGAGAGATACAGGAACTTCTAAAATGTGCTTATTTCTAGCCAAAGCAAACGTCTAAAATTCATTTTATTTAAAGCATTTTGGAGATGTATCAAATCATTTAGGAAGTAAAGATAACAAATAATTTGACTGTGTTTTAATGCATTCTCTAGCTTCAAATCAACTATGACAAACACCTTGGCAACCTTATCATCCACATCCTTCAGGCAAGAAACCTTGCTCCCCGAGACAACAATGGCTATTCTGACCCCTTTGTTAAAGTTTATCTTCTTCCTGGAAGAGGGTAAGTATAGGAGAAATTTTAATCTGAACTTTCTTTTAATATGGATTTGTCACTTGTCACTAATAAACAGAACTCAGAGTTATTGCTGTAGCAAATCCAGGTACAACACCAGGAAAAATGGTGGATTTTTAATAGCGAGTCAGATCCTGTTCCCAGAAGAATGTGCATACTTTGCTGATGACCTCAGGACTTCATGATCATTCCTGTAGATTTAATTTTTTTCATGTTTCCATTTGAGAATTCTAATACATGCAAAAATATGTATTGAAAGAACAACAAACTCTACTGAAATGTACTAAATATGTGTAATACTTTCTGTAATATAGGAAGCTACATGTTAAGGCTGAAATGGAATCATTACTTCAGCTGAAGACATTCTGAAGTTGGGACAGATTTGCAAACATGCAGAATTACAGTATCAGATAAATTTAGGATTGCAGTATAATACCAAAAATGCAAAATTCTAGACAGAAAACTTTAATTCCATGTCATTTTTTTAAGACTTTTTTTTGTTTTTTAAAGGCCAAGGTGTGGGTTTAGAAATTCTGGTAATTTTGTATCTCACTATACAAATCACTAATGGCTTTTTCACAGACAACTCTTTTTCAGACTCTCTAATTACAGATAGCTCATTAGTGTTGCCTTTAAGGTTATGTTTCTGTATCAGCAATATTATAACTCTTTTTTGTCCCCTAAAGTTGTGGAATGTCATAGGTATGTGTAAGTATACATGGTTATAATAATCCTGCTGACTTGAGTGACAATATCTAGAGCTAAGGTGGTGGATCAGACCTTAGGTTGCAGAGACAAATTCCTTCAAAATTCTCTGCTTGTTCAATCACACTCATCCTAAAAGACTCTTAGGCTAGGACCAATCTCTATTTCTCTTCTATTCAAAGTAACAGGAAAGTGGATGTTCAGATCACAGTTCAGCATTTGGCATATGGTCAAGCATAGCTAAAAGCACATGAATGGTACAACTAAAGGCATGTGTGTTCTTTTGGAGCTCGCTAATTCCAGCTACACAGCATTCAGTATTGTTCAGTGGCACTGGGCCCAAACCTATTACTGAATATAATGGGAACAGGCCCTAAATCTTGAGGGGTTTTTTAATGCACCTAAGAGTCTTGTAAAATACTTGTCAAATCAATCTTACTGGGAATTTTGCAGGTACATGCATTGATGTAGAGATAAGACTTTGAACTAGAGAGATGTTCACTCTGCAGAGGTCTAAGCCAGACCCAAGTATAGGTTTAAACTTGCTGCCAACTTATAAAGAATTTGGATTTTAGTTTTGTTTGCATTATTTTAAAAGACGGCAGCATTACTCTTTTGCATATAACTTGGGGCTTTAGGGAATAATGAAAATGAAGAGTTTCTGAAAAGTGCCAAACTTGTTTCTGAAAGGAGAAACTACTGAATATCTTTTCTTTTCTCTGTAATTCAGTCCATGCTAGACTTCTTATTCTTCCTAATGGCTCTATTTCCTTTGATTCTGATACTAGAAATTACCCATTATTCACATGTTTTCTTTCATCTCTGTTCTCGTTTTCTCTCACACTGCTTCCTCTGTGTTCCTAACTCTGCAAATGCTGGGTATGCAGACAAGTCATGGTTGTTCAAAATGCAAGGTAGAGTGCATTATCTTTCATTTTTGTATGCATGCATGATATGATAAGCCTGTGCACTGAACTATAGATTTCTCTTGACTTTTGATGGTATGCAATTGCAGTATGGTTTTGCTGTTCATTCTCTAATGAATCCCATGCCCAGGTCAGAAGGGACTGGAAACAAGTAATTAACGCTCCTCAATGCAGTGATATTCTAGGGCCAAACTCCAGTGACAAACAAAATTTCTTTTGAAGTTTGGAAGAATTTAGTTCCAAAATATCTTAAAAATTCGTTCTCACTCACTGAAAGTTGCAAAATAATTAACTGTGAACTCATATCAAGTTTTTGAATGGTGTTACTGCCAGGAGAAATAGGCACTGTTTGGAAATGAAATGGAATATTTTTCCCTCTACACCTTGCACAGTGTATAGGCATTAAAGGCAGGCATAATTCTAGTTAATTGTCCAGTTGGCTTTAAAGTTGCTTGACCACATAAGTGGCTATTGGTGGTAACCAAAGTTGAATTTGTAGCTATTGGAATTACTAGTGCATTTTTTGTCCTGGAGTTGGGAGCATAAGGCAAAACTCCTTTCTCAAGATATGCTAATACCAGCTCAGGCTAAGTATATAATAGTAGTAGTTCAGCACTAATTCTAAATTTGTTTAAAAGGAGAAACCTGACCAAACAAGTCAACAGATGAATTTTAATAAATAGATCTTCTCTATCATCGGTCTGTTTCTTCATTAATAAAATTATTTAATTAGCGTGTTTAAATGACACATTTTGTATCCAGTTATACTATTATACTTTTTAATTGTACTTACAGTTGTATTATGTATTAGTAACCTATAATTAGGGAAACAAAGAGAAATTATAAAGAAAAGAGTGATGCAGTTTGTATCTTTTCACACAGCATACTCTGTGAATTTCAACTGCAGATTATTTTGTACTAGGTATTGACTGGTTTAATGAATATGTTTAATTAAAGGGTCACTATCTGTTAATCACAGTTGTTGGGGAAAGGTACATTAGTGGTATGAACTTAACGTATTTGCCAGATCCTTCCCCTCAGAGGTCTAGAAAACTTCAGCTGTCATCCAGCTTAGCCAGGGTCTGCACGTCCTTAGAAGTGGTCCAGGTCTCCTACTTTCCTCTGTAGCAGATCCAGACCATAGGTTACATAAAATTGGGCTAATGCCACCCTTGCCATTTTAGATCCAGATACTCTATGGACTTCAATGGAAATACTCCAGAGTTACCATGTGAACAACACAGTTACCATTTGTCTCTGTCAGCTCTGAAACTCAACACTGCATGAATCACCTTCTCACATATCTCTGAAAAGATTCAGAAACTTTGAAAAGGTGATTAAGTTGTAATATTGCAAAAGGAAATATAGGAAAGGAAAGGGAAGGGAATGTCTTGATGTCATTTTCTTGGTTGATTGCACAAAGGGTCCTTTCCCACTTTCTTCCAAAAGATGAAAGAAAGTATATGACTTTCTTAAAACCAGTAGATCATGCAAAATTTAGACAGGCCCAAGCTGTGTAATGCTATCCTGGCTTACATAAGGTAAGAAGTGGATTACTCTGGGTTTAGGAGGAGTTTGGATAAGTTAATATTTCATTAATAGTTGATCAGAAAATATATTCTTTTGAGGAGTACTGTGAGCCCAGAGAGAGAGAAATGCTGCCAGCCCAGCTGTCACTTGCCCGTCTCCCGTGTCTCCATATGGGTCAGTCAAATCTCATTAATACTCTGAGTGATGGGAATGCTTTTCTCAGATCAGAGTGGGAAAAGAACATTACTGAGGTGCTTAAAAAATATAAGTGCATTACTGAATAGGATTTTCCATCAAAATCTTGTTTCCAAAAGGATTCAGATTTCATATTTCAGCTTTCCTTGCAAGATATGCAAAGAAATAACTTATGTGAGTTTCTTATTCATATGCTCTTGGTGCCCCTAGATTTTAATTCATCATTTTCCTACTGACATACAAGAAAAAAGAATGCTCTTTTTTTTTTTTCCAAAATATAGCATTGTATGCTGTGTCTGACAGAACTGACTGCATTGTGGAGAGCTGCTGCTTTCTTCTCATAAGCAGAGGTGGACAGATACTTTGTTTCACAGTTCCCAATGTTTTCAATAAAGTGGAAGACAGTGGATAACATTTTTTATGAGAAAATAAATGGAACTGCATAGAAAGACTCTGAACAAAAAATGGGAGCAAAAATAGCTTCAAGTCACTTTCATTAAAAGATATCAATCTAGGAAGCAGCTTGGATATGATGACCACCCCCTTTTGGAGAATAAGACCACTACGCACTCCGTAAGAGGGGAGCACTGCACAGTAGAGTTGAGTTTGTAGAGTAAAACTGCTGATGCTGAAGACCCAAGACTGACATATATGTGTCAGTAAAACACATGCGTCCTTCACATAACATTAATTCAGACCTGCACCAGTCCGGTACCATGCATGGTACACCTTTAGTGACTAGCTGTTTAATGAGCCCCTGGAGTGCAACTTCTGAGTTCATCTCATATGAAAGGATTCTAGTTCATTACCTCTGAGACCCTGTCACAGTGTAAACCAAGACACACTTCATTCAAAAGCCAGGAGTGAGAATCAGGAGAGCAGCACATTAACAAAAATTAATGTGGAGGAACCATAGAAGAGTTTAATAGGGCAGATGGAGGTCATTCTGTGCCATTTGGCCTTAGTGCTGGAGAACAGTCCTGGACACATTTAATTTAGTAATAGATATAGCCCGCAAGACCTTTAATGTATGGGAGGTTTGAACAGAAGACAAAGGGCAGTTGACTTGCAGACTGGCAAAAAGAGGTTCTTTACCTTACATCTTGTTGGGTTTTCAAAGTATTAAAAGCTTCTCATGTTCTGCTACCCAGCTTTTTTTGAGATGCCCATTAAAATACATATTAAATTAAAATTGGAATGGAAGCAAATCTGACATCAAAGCTCACAGAGCTAGGTGAATCCATATTCTGTTAAAGGTTAGTGTATTGCCTTCTCCACAATCAGAAAATGCAAAGTACAGTAGAAAGCACTACCGATTCTTTTAAAAAGTTTGGTTGCATAATCCAATTGGTTTCTTGGCTATTGATAAAAGCAATCCTGAGCTTGATGCACTTTTATGTTTTTTTTTCCAGTACAGTTAGATGTATAGGCAGAGAACAGAATCAATAAGGAATTAGGGTTTCTATGATTAACAGGATATTAGTTACCCCATGGCATTCATTAAACGTACTTGTGAGATGGGACTGCTGTAATTAGAGACTGCAACCTATAAGAATAATGGATTCATGCTACTTTAAAGTGCTAATAAGAAGATGGTCTTGAAAAAGAAATCAATGCATTATCACTTCAATTTATAATCAGAGCCCAAACCTACAATGGGAAAGCAAAGCGTATGTGCATGTGCTGACTGATGCTTTATGTTGAAATAGTTGTTGGCAGAGCTAGCCTGATGAAAAGTCAGAAGAAGATGTTTTAAAAGACCATATCAGGAAAGCAAACTAAAGAAAAAAAAAAAAACCCAAGGGCTGTCATTGTCCTCTTGTAACCCTGAGCTGTTGCAGAAATGGGAGATGCAGTTCTTTTTCTGGTTTTTGTTTGTGGGTGTTTTTTTGCATTAGAACCGAAAGAAACAAAAGATCACTAATGTAATGTTTTCTTCTTTTGTTCAAATTCAGTGCTGAGTACAAGCGGAGAACTAAGTACATACAGAAAAGCTTGAATCCTGAGTGGAATCAGACGGTCATTTATAAAAATATCTCCACGGAGCAGGTTCGTGACTGGTAGTACTGTTCAGTGCAATTTGCTGCTTTATTATTTGTATGGTCTGCAGTACTTACTGTGAAGGGAGCAGTGCTACTGGCAGTTCTGTGAACCCTTGTAAATTCTTGCCAAATTTAGGGGAAATTTGAAACTATTTCCTTGCCTCTGATAGAATTCACTATATCAATACTCTTTTCATGTCCCTTCTACTCATAAAAATGGTAATTTGTGGGGATTACACTCATAATCATGTCATAAGTACAGATGTGGCAATTTTAAAAATGATAATGGAATACAGAGAGGGAATAAATTAAGATGTAAGTTTCTGAAGTAGATGCAGAAATCACTGTCACTCTTCGTTCCAAAAACCTTGCATGTTCGCACAAAACACAGGTCCTACCATTTTCTCATTTAAAAAATATTTTTAAAATGTAGAGCTACACTTTTACATTAAGCAGTAATTTACAGCAAAGGGCTTGAAATCTGAATCGCCTGGGAAAAAAAAAAATCAGAAGATATTTAATTTCTTGGGTATAGAAAGATTTAAATCACATTTGGGGAAGAGGTCTGTGGAAGTCTTCTCTGTCTGTTTCTTGGTGGCTTTTTAGCTCTAACTGACCTATGGGGTTAATGAGGCAGTGTGGAGCAATTAAGTCCTCTTTTTCTCCATCTCCCCTTTTAAAGAGACTTTTTATCATTTGAAAAAGACATAATAAGCAAAATTAGGATAATTTCATTTTTTTTTGAATTATGAAGTATATTTTATAGAATAATGGACCTGTATGCAGTCCCAAATTTTTTGGCCTTTCTTAATATTTTGTTGTTGATAATTTCAGCTTCATTTTCCAGCATCATCTAACCTTCTAGCACTTAAAAAAGCCTAGACAGACAGGACTCTTTAATGATCAGATTTTCCAGTGCTTTTAATATACTTCTCCAACATAACATCAAGACCTCTAAATTACCTTCTTGACTTAAAAATTGTTTATTTATTCTTCTTTGAGAGGAACATAGATTAAGATACTGGTTTTTGCATGGAGCAAAACCCTTCCCACAGAGGGACTTACACAGTTGCTCGGGCAGTCTACACATCTGAACTTAACAGGCACTGGCTCAGTTTTACTTCAGAGGTACCCTGTTGTATGTAGTGGTTATGTTTTGCCAGGATTTGCATGCTGTTTCATGTGGGCTTCAATAAATGTTACCTCATTGACAGTGAAAGCATCAAAAAGACCCCAAAAACCTGTGATGGTTGTCGAGCTGCAATATAAACCCTAGGTATTCTGGGTTTTCTGAAAATGTTTGTTAAGTCTTGGTGGTATTTCCAAACTGAGCTTTCCATTTAAAAAAAGCTCTTCAGTTTACTTAATTTGCTTTCAGGTTCTGCTGTGACATTTCACAGAGCTGTAATTAAGAATGTTAGGGTGTTGGACGTACATACGATGGCTGTTTGGTGATTTTAAATTGGATAATGATCTTAGTCTAGAATTTCTCGGACAGAGATTTTTATGACAGAAAATCTAAAATCTTTGATGTCAGTTTTTTGACCATATTTGATGAAATTTGCCTTTCAGTTACATACTGAATTATTTGAACCTTTGCTTTCTATTTGCATATCTCCACCTTTTCCCTTCCTCTGAGACAGTTATGCAATATTTATAAGTGTGTAAGCTTCATCTAAGAACCACATATGTTATGTATTTTGTCCTCTTGTCACACAGAAATGTGTGCAGGGAATAGTGTTTCTTACACACCTTCCCGTGGCTTGTATCTAGTGGTGAGATACTGGTATGAGTGATTCTTCTATAAAATTCAGTACCTTGACTTGAAGAATATACAGTAAAGCACATTTCTAAACCATTAAATGATTCCACGCTGATGATAAGTACCATTTACAGTTTGAAGAACTATCACCATGCAACAATATATTTTTTGCACTCATAACCCTCGTGAATGGATATTTCAAAATAGTTAGGAATATGAAGAGAAGTACAAGACAATGATTGTGATAGACTGGGAACGAGTGTTCTGATCACCAAACAAGCAAAACTGCATCATGCACTAAGTAATACTATACAGAGTTAGCTGTCATACCATAACATAAATTCACGAATCTTTAGAAATACTATTTCTTCAAAGAAGCATTTCCTTTCTTTCTCTCAAAGCATGAGTTACTTGCTGACAGCAAATAAGTATTATTAAATATTTCCTAATATAGTCCTTTTAACGTCACTGTCTAGACTTTAGCTGGTTGTACAATTTTTCATTTTGCTTTTCTCTTTCATAACCTAGCTGAAATTAAAGTGAAAATAATTACAGGAAATAGATCACTCTTTGAAATGAAACAAGGTTTTTCAAGGTTGGAATGATTAGTTTTATCACGTAGCAAATTTTGCTTTGACAGTTGGAAGAAAAATAAATTAAACTGTGAATGTTTAGTAATTTAAGTTTTTTCTGAAGTAGTAAAGTGGAGATAATTACAATTTGAGAGGAAGGACAAGTACACACATTACAAATATTGTATAATAATTGCTAACTCAAGTCAAATACCTACTCAGAGCATGAAAGAAAGGATTAGAATGATTTAAGGAGAAGACTGTAAAAGCTGTAAGTTCTGTTGCTGGTCAGGCCATTGGTATAATGTATGACCACCACATAAGTTGTGGCTTTGTTTGCCTCAATTTCTTACTTGTCAGAAAGCAGATAAAAGTATTTCCTTAAATGGTGGATATAATTCACAAAAGCAAATAGCTCTTGCTATAGCTCATGTCCTTAATTGAAGGTAATATATTTAGAAAGAGTAATATTTTCAAAATCTGTGAGTGATGTAGGAGCCTATGTCTTAATTCCAAAAGAAAAGCTTTCTTATGAATCAGCAAGGTGTTGGTACCTAAATCTTACTTAATATATTGAACAAGAGAAAGTAAGTTTCTAAGTGAGATAGTAAAACTGGTTTTGTCCTCCCATGTACTGAAGTACGACAATATAGAGAAGAGTACAATAAGATGTTAAATATGAATGTAAACACAAATAAGTATAATGCCTGATCTAATACAACACCTTCATTTCTACTCATCAAATATCGTAACAGAGACTAATCTTTTGTATTATTTCTGAAGTAATTGTAGGAATTTACTTTTAGCATAGGAAGAAACCAAAATGCATTAAAGTTATTTCTTTTCTCTAGTTATAAGTTGTATGAGATTTTCAAGGAAAATGTCTTAATCATTTCAAATAATGCATACTTAATTACACAGACCTGCATTATCTGTAACAACACCCGGTAAGCTCCACACTTTTAAAAAAAGAAACAGATACTTCTATATGTGTGGTGTTGGATATGTCTTCCATAAGATAAAATATTATTCACATTGGCTGTTTCTGAATATTCCTTCGTTTTCTCTAAATGATGGTTGTCCACAGCAGCCTAAAGCTAACTGGAGTTCACATACCGTAATATGCTTTTAGGTAGAGGGTTTTTAAAATTATTTTAATTTATCTTTTGTTTATAAATTTTCCACAAGGCAAAGCCTGAAATTAGTTGTGGATTAATAACACTTTTTTGTAATAGGTTTGGAACTCAGATATGGTTCACAACATGTGTAAACTGCTTTCCTTCTTTTAGGAGCACTTTCTCATTTTCCTGTTGGTAAATTGCCCACTTGCAGAAACCCACTATCAGGCAGCTAGTGGGTTTCTGCAACCTATTTCAGTATTGGTATCAGTTAAATTCCTGATGGGGATCTGAACTTCAGGCTTCATGACCTAAAACTGGATGATGTTAGACAGAACCCTACTTTGCTGTGATAGTATAATGACTGTTTTAAAATCACTAGCCATTGAATGTTCTTTGCCTCCAATAGCAGTACATAAATATATCATCAGAAAAGCAAATTTTCCTCCTCTTTGAAACTCATTTCATGCACTCTGCCTAATAAAGCTCTTTTGATGGTTTTTCATTGTCATAATATTTTATAAAAGCTTTATTAAACTAAGAGGCTTAAAATAGATATCTCAAAGAAATGTAGAGTACTGCAAGTTTTCACCACAGTTTTATTATCATACTAAAGCAAAGAAGCTAACAAAGTAAGGTTGCAGTTACTTATTATTTTCCTCTTTACACCAAAAATCCTTCAAATCTTTGGTTTTTTTTTTTCCTTTCCTGGATCTATACATTCTCCTCTCTGTCCTTGCATTGTCATCACTTGAAACAAGAAGACAACATGTCCTCCCAAAATAGCAACTATTGAGACAAGACATTTCTGAAAAGTATTTGTGCCATTCCTCTTTTTTAAAGGGTGAAAATACATATACTTAATATCTAGCAGGAAATTGTGTCATCCAGGAAGCTAAAAGTAGCATGAACCAGGGCCTGCTCAACTCTTTTTTTTTTTTTGTTACTTTTCACTTTGTAAAAAATTAGCACAATTCCCCTTTGAGTGGGCTTTCCAGGATACGCTGACTTAAACTTGATTTTCAAAGGCAGTGGCTTTGCATTTTTGCTTATATTTCTTCAGTTAGCTGTGAGCAGAAGATATTCCGAATACATAATAATGAGATGAAATTATCATTTAAAGGCAATTGGAAGTTATTAAGAACTGTCTTGCATTAAACCAAGTGGCAATGGACATATATAGCAAAGAGTGCCTTTCTTGAAAGTGTATATAATATGTGCAGTAGATGGTATAGCTTATGATTTTGAACAATGACTTGATCTTTTGTTGTTTGTTTCTCCCTAGCAGAGAATTAATAGTTGGAGAAATGAGTGACATGTTGCTTCTGTTAGGATGGTGACCTCAATGATCACATAAGATTTCTGGTTTTGACTTCTTTTATTCACGTATGTGAACAGAGTCCTGTTTTCCTTAGTAGTGCTTGGAAGTGTCTGACAAATTCTTCACTCACAATTTCTCAGCCTGACTTCACAGATATCCCATACCACCAGAATTTTGTCCTTCTTTCAAGCCACGTGTATTTATTACTGCCTCTGTAGCCATCTGCTAGCATTTTACCCCAGCATACAACACTGCTAATCCATCCTCTCCTCATCTGTCCCCATAGACCCCTGGAATGACACTCAGGTCAATTTTTCCAATAAAGTTGACTGCTTTGGCCAACAGCTTCTCTGTCTTGCCCTATCTTGTCATATAAAAAGGCTTACTTGTTTCTTACTGTAGCCTGTAAGAAGAGTGCTTGACATAGCTATAGTGCTTAACAAGATCTGCAGATAATGAGTTTTGATGGCTGTCATTAATACCTAAGAGTACAACTTGTCCTGCATGTCTGAATCTCTTGCAGAGTCCCATTGACTACACTGAATTGCAGGGGCTTCAAGCCTGCTCTTCACAGCTAAGATTGTGTACATAGGGTGTTTTAAATAATGCAGTTGAAATTCACACTCAAATGCACTTTAGGCAAATGTCTGAGTTCAGATAACTTAGATCTGATAATGAGAAAAGCTACAGAAATTAAAAAATGGAGCTTTAAAAATCAGTTTGGCTCTTGTAGTGGACACACATTCTGAACAACTTGTGGAAATTCCTAAAATAGGGCCAAGCACAAGCCCATTTGTCTTGATAACAAATAATGGCCCCAAATTATTCTTCTGAGATCGAGGTGGATGGGAGGACAAAAGCTGCCTAGCTGTCACTATGAAAAAGGGTACAAGGAGGAGATACTGAATAGAAACCACCAGAAAGACTTGATCTGAAGTTTATGATGACAATGGAGTTAATTATCCTTTGACTTAAATTGCAGCTGAAAAAGAAAACACTGGAAGTGACTGTCTGGGATTATGATAGATTCTCCTCAAATGACTTCCTTGGTGAAGTGAGTATCTTATTTTCTCCTCTCTAACCCTGCCTAGTTAGAAAGCTGATTAACTGCATGTTGGGATCTGGAGACTACTTCCAAGGTATGGTACATGTGTTAGGTAAAACCTTTGTTACATCACAGTTTTACTGCTGACTTCATAACAACTGGTCGTGACTTCTTTCATTTGCAGATGAAAGATGCCTTCCCTTTATCTCGATAAACTGTGGGCAAGTTCATTTAGGACTCAACACAATGTTACTTCACTGAAATTTTTATTTTTTTTGAGCCTGAGATAGTAACAGCCTTCACAATGACTGAATTGAATGTTATGACTGATAAGCTGTCTGCCTTGATTTTAACGTAACATGGGAAGGCTGAGGAGGTATTGTTCTTTGTAAATGATTAAAGGATTAAATTCTGCCATCAAGCCATAATTTAGCACATGCACAAGTATCTGCATGTGTGAGTAATTTGGTCTTGCTGATCAAGGTCTCGTTTTTAACACTACAATGCAGTAATATCATTACCAAGATATGACTGAAGGCAAAATCTCGTAATTAATAATAAATGAGGTGAGTGATCATGGGAAGAAGTATGCTCTCTCTTTTATAAGCAAATATACATGCATTCGCACACATAATACAGACTTACTGGCAACAACTATGGTGTCAAAAAAGTAATTAAAAATTTTATTACAAAAGAGGATTATAATTAGAAACTGAAGCCTGGGAAAATCAATCACTCATCTACAGAGTAACTCAGGGTATCTCTGCTCATTCTGCACTTGAATTTTGCGAAAAAGGCACTCAGTTCAGCTTCAGTTCCCCTTTGTGTAACTACAAAACTGAGCACTCAGTGTCACTATTTGAACAATTACTAAAATTAACGTATAGGAAGCAGCTAACTGATTACTTATTTCCTGCATACTGTATCAGTATCCTTGTTGAGTTCAGCATGTTTGTCCAAATGCGGGGCTTTACTGAATATTTAGATCATTATTTATGGTATTTAGAAAATGGATGGTCCAGCAACTACTTCTAAAGGAAGATTTAAACTTTTGCCTTCAAATATTTTCAACCTCTAGAACTATTTTATTTATTAAATCATTCAGACTTAGATATTCAAACAGTTCTTCATGGGAAAAAAGGAACGAAAAAGACTGTCCAGTGTATTTCAAGACCAGGATGTCCAGAGGAATCCTGCACCATAACATCAAATATGAAATATCCAAATTGTGCCTAAGGGCTTGCTTGAATAAGGCCAGCACCACCTGCATGCCCCAGAAGGCAAATGGCACATCATGGTTCATATCCATGGAATGTAAACCCTCTCATCCTACAAAGAGCCTCCAGTCTCTACTGCCTATCGGGAACAATCCTCAACCATGCTATCTTCCAAGTCATTCCTAAAGCTATGAGCAAAAACCACACCAGGGAGCATGCTTAATAGTTACTCCATTCAGATTAAGTATAGACCTAACCAGAAAGACCAGACAGTCCATATACAACCTGTGAAGCTGAGAGAAGAAAAAGGCTTTTAACCTTCTAGAACAGTCAGTTGTGACGAGACTTCCCCATCCCTAAACCTGAAGAGGCTTTCTTTTATTTAGGGTCTTGTAATAAAATGACATTGTTCTCTGTTCTCATACTTTATTTGTTAAGCAGTTTTAAAAATTCCCTACCTGACATTAGTTTTCACCCTCTCACCTTAGAGCCAAGTGCAAGGCTATTCATTCAAGACTCTGTGATGACTCTTTAATACTTTACATCACTTGGCCCTATCAACTGGAAGACCATTAAAGGAAGAAGAGTCTGTATTGGTCCCAATCTTAATTTTCTTATTTTTTACTTTTTTTTTTTTTTTTTTTTTTTTTTTTTTTTTTTAAAT